TTGCCTCATCGAGGCGAGGCCGTTTTGAGCCTGCCCCCTGCTCCTAGGCAAAGGGGCTCGCTCCCCTTGGATCTTGGGGCACGATGGCAGAGCCACCCGCCTCCGCTGGCACCTCAAGCGTGGTGGCAGAGCCGCCCGCCCCTGTTGGCTCCTAGGGCAAGCCGACGGTACGGCCCGTCTCCACCGGCTCCTCGAACGTACCCTCCCCTCCGTGGAACAGGAAGGGTCCTGACTCCTACAAGGATGAACCGATACCTGTCAGCACATCCTCGTTCTCTAGGTTGTCCCACTCAATGTCGTCGACTATCTCATCGTCGTCTCCATCATCATCATCATCATCATCATCGTCACGGTCGGTGTCCTCCCCTCGCCCCTGCTCCTACAGCCTCCGCTTCTTCTTCTTCCTCTTGTCCTCCTTTGCCTTCCTCAGTCGCTCGCTCTCGACGCGATTCACCGCCCTCATGGACGAATCCCTCGATAACGGCGCTGGGTGATCCATGAAGATGAGGTCCCTCGGCTAATCCCGTCCCTCTCAAAGTTAGTATCAAGAGGTCGGTAAATCAATTGAAGAGGAGGTATGAGGAGGGGAAACTTACGAAGACAACATGGCCTGGTTCCAGCCGCATCGGAGGATGTCCTGGCACCGGGTAGATGAAATCGATGGGGGCGACCGCGTCATCCCGTGAAGGCTCCATCACCTCCTTAATGCGTTGCGTGACCTTGGAGTGGGGAAGCACTCCCTCGGCAAGCGCCATTCTGTTGAACGACGCCTCGAGCGCCATCACATACAGCGAAAAGCGTGCATCATCAACGACGCCACCCTCCTTGCGTGGTAGGCCCCGATGACGCCCAACCCCTTCAAACTGTTCTCCTTGAGGATGTGGATGGGGTCCTGGATCTTCTTCTTGTCCTTCTCCGGGATGCCCCACTTCCTCCATGACTCCGGGGCCTCTTCGATCAGGCGCACGGTGAACTCTAGAAGAGGGGTGGCGGCGTCATTCTTGAGGTAGAACCACTGCGAGTGCCACCCCTTGATGGACGTCAAGAGCTGCATGGGCAGGTATTCGCCGACCCAATTGTTCCAGAGCTGGATGTCGGCGCACCCCATCGGCATATGCAGCTCCTGCCTACCGCTCTTCTCCCTCTTCTTCTGGAGGGTGATAGCGAAGAAGTACCTCCACAGATCGAAGTGGGGGCTAATCCCTAGGAACCCCTCGCACAGGGCGACGAACGCTGCCATGTGCTGGATCCCATTGGGGTTGAGATGCTGTAGCTCGATCTTGTAATAATGCAGCAGCCCCTGAAGAAATTTGTGGGTGGGGGTCATGAACCCACACTCATGGAAGTGGGCGAACGACACCATATAGCCGTCGGGCGGCGATGGCAGATCCTCCTCATCGGGCAGCAACCACTCCTCGATAGAGGTCCGCGCGTGGAGAAGACCACGACGGACGAGGCTTTCCATGCTCTAGATGGTGATGTTAGAGCGACACCATGGATCCATTGGAGGTGGGGCGGACGGATGCGAGCTCGATGGCGATGGGGATGCGAAGGCAGGAAACCTAAGCGATTGGTGGCGGCGGTCGTGGCTGCGGAGGCAAGGATGCAAGGTATGGAACCCTAGGGGTGAACCCTTTGGTTTTATAGGGGCGACGGATGCAATGAAACCAACCACCCGCCTAGATCTCTACGCCTGCCGCGATCTACCACAACGTCTCGCCGTGGGACCTACGCACGCAATCTCTGTCTGTTCCCTCAGAAAACTCACCGGACATTTTGCCTCTCCAGACGGGCCACGACTAGTTGCGGGTAAGAGGAATACAGATCTAAAAGCATCTCTACGGCCCAAGTGGGCCGAGGAGTCTACAGGTCGGCCCATCTACGGGTTCGACAACTGCTCCAGGCACCTTTAGAGTGAGAGGTGGAAAGAGATGGGCCCGCTAGCGGCTAGAACCCGGGCACGCAAGTGCCACGGGCATCTTGGCTCATGTTCGAGTCTCGACCGGTTACGATCCGTGGTTTTTCCTCAAAGAAAGGCACATAGCCCTCGGGACCGGTCGAACGGACCCGAGAACTATACGGATCAACCGCTAAGAATCTGAAGTCGATCACCAAACTGACCCAAGCCGGATCCCCACAAATGGGATGCCAGGGACCCCACTCAGACTATCCCATTAAACAGCTCACCGGATGCCATGATTCGTCCTTAGAGGAAAATCATGGCATGGCTCGGCCCCTCCATTTTTATCGGAAAAACGCTTGAGGGAAGACAATCGCAAAGACGAACAATCCTCGACCAGGCCCCTGCTACGGGAGGAGGCTCGAGGAAAGGGAATCACCATCCCCAGGCCACACTGTGGGTGACAAAAGAAGGCCAAGGCCTTCAGAGTCCTCCCGTTCGGCAAAACCTCTGAAGGAGTATTTTACTCCTTCGCAGGCTCGGGGGCTACTGCCGGTGATCACCAAGTCGTCGACGTAGACACCCACTAGCAGAGCATTTCCTCCACTGCCCCGTCGGTAGATGGCCGCCTCGTGCGGGCTTTGCTCAAAGCCCATCCCCTTTAGCGTGGAATCTAACTTGACATTCCACGCCCTCGGTGCCTGCCGCAAGCCATAGAGGGCCTTGCGTAGGCGGAGCACCTTGCCCTCCTTGCCGGGGATCACAAATCCCGGCGGCTGGTGCACGTAGACCTCCTCCTTCAAGTCGTCGTTAAGGAACGCCGACTTGACGTCCATGTGATGAACACGCCAGCCCTCCTGGGTAGCTAGCGCAAGAAGGAGTCGCACGGACTCCATCCGTGCCATGGGAGCAAAGGTGTCGTCGAAGTCGACCCCTCCTGCTGCACGAAACCTTGTGCCACCAAGCGAGCCTTGTGCTTGATGATGGCGCCGGCTTCATTCCTCTTTAGCTTGTACACCCACTTAAGGGTGATCGCGCGGTGACCACGAGGAAGGTCAGCAAGCTCCCAGGTGCGGTTCTTCTCAACCGCATCCATCTCCAATTGCATCGCGGCGCGCCATGCCGCGTGTCTCTCGGCCTCTACAAATGATCGAGGCTCGCCGTCGTCACACGCAAGGTGCAACTACGCCTCCAGGTCATGAGGCACCGGTCCCGGCACCGGCTGGTCACCGAGAAGGTTCTCCATCAAACGGTACCGCAACGGCTCGCCGTCATGGTATCGTCGCGCTCCTCGTCATGAGAGAGCGGAGTAGCGAGCTCAACCGGGCTATGCTCGACACGAGCTGGTGTTGGAGTAGACGAGCCCGGAGAGGTGCCTGTCGGTGCTGGAGTGCGTGGCGGTGCCGGCTGTGGTGGAGCCGGCGAAGAACTCATCGCAGCCGAGGTCTTGGCTGGAGAGCGTGGTGCTGTCGGAGTAGTAGGCGCCGGGGTCGGTGGAGGCTCGGGGACTGGGGTAGACGCGCTCGTCGAAGAAGAGCTGCCTACTCCCCTAGCTCCCTCGAAGTGGACGTACTCGACAGTGAAGTTGTCGTACGTCAGAGCCGAACCGTCGTCCACCGCCTTGTCCCACGCCCATCCTCGCCTTTCGTTGAACACAACGTCGCGCGCCGTGCGCACACGCTGTGTCTTCGGGTCAAGGATGCGGTAGGCCTTCGAGCCCTCCGCGTAGCTGATGAACACTCTCGGAGTGCTCCTGTCGTCGAGCTTGCTGATGTGGCCAAGCTTCTTGGTGAACGCGAGGCAGCCGAAGACCCACAAGTGGGAGACCGCCGGCTTGCGCCCATGCCAAGCCTCGTACGGCGTCCAGCCGTCGAGCGCCTTGGTAGGTGACCGGTTTAGGATGTAGACGGCCGACGCCACCGCCTCTCCCCAGAAGACAGCTGCATCCCCCTCTGCTTGAGAAGGGCCCGAGCCATCCCCACAACCGTATGGTTGCGCCGCTCGATGATGCTGTTCTGCTGCAGGCCGTATGGCATGGAGTAGTGGTGCTAAATGCCCTCATCAGCGCAGTACGACGCGAATTCAGCCGCCATGAATTCACCGCTGTTGTCGGTGCGCAGTACGCGCAGCTTGCGGCCGCACTCCGCCTCCACAGCAGCCTGCGAGCGCCTGATGGCGTCCGCAGCCTCTCCCTTGCTGCCGAGGACCATCACCCACATGTAGCGGGAGAGGTCGTCGACGAGCAGTAGAAAGTAGCGTCGTCCTCCCGGTGTGGCCGGTGTCACCGGACCACACAAGTCCCCGTGCACAAGCTCGAGCCTCTCCTTGGCTCGAAAACTCGCCCACTGGGGAAAGGGGAGTCGCCTCTGCTTCGTCAACACACAGACATCGCAGAGCTGCTCCACATGGTCGAGGCACGACAGGCCTCGCACCATCTCCGTGGCACTGAGCCGCTTCAGGGCCTCGAAGTGAAGGTGCCCGAAGCGCTCGTGCCACTGCCACGCCTCGTCATCCCGACGAGAAGCGAGACAGAGGGGTTGTGCCACCTGCACGTTAAGGACATATAGTCGATTTGCGCTTCTGGTTACCTTGGCAAGAAGGTGACGACAGCAATCCCAAATCCTCATGACTCCATCCTCAACCACCAAGCGCGAACCGTTCTCATCCAGCTGTCCCAAGCTGATGATAGATTTCCTCAATGCGGGGATGTAGTAGACTCCGGTGAGCAGCCTGTGCTCACCAGACACGGCGGTGAAGATGACGGAGCCGACGCCCTTGATCTCCACGCCGGAGGCATCCCCAAACTTGACGGAGCCTCGAACGCTAGAGTCAAGCTCGGTGAAGAACAGAACTCTCGTAGACCAGTCATGTGATGGGTGGCGCCGGTGTCGATGCACCACCCATCAGTCTTGTCATTGCCGGAGCCATCGCCGTGGAGGGCGTGTGCTTTTGGCTCGTCAAGGTGGAGGAGAGCCGCTGCGGCCGGTGCCGCTGGAGGTAGCTCGATGCTTACATGTGCCATGAACAGAGCCGACTCCTCCTCCTCCGCCTGTGCGACGTGGGCCTGGCCGCGTCGTTGCTGTCGACAGTCCTTGGCCCAATGGCCAAGCTGGCCACAGTTGCGGTAGGTGTTGTCTCGTGCTGGCTTGTGCCTGCCGGCGGCGCCGCCCTGGGCGCCTCTGCGGGCATCACCCTCGGCACGTCCTCGCGCCCCGGCCTAGGGCGTCTTTGCGTGCCTTGCGTGGCTTGCCATGCTCGCGGCCGCCTGTCGTAGAAGAAGGCTCCCCCTTCTTCCGGTCACCTTGGCTGGCAAGCCACTGCTCCTGAGTGAGAAGGAGCTTCCCGCCAGTGGTGATGGGCCCCGAGAGAGACTGTGGCTCATCGCTGTCGACGACCTTGACGCGACCTATCGCCTCCTCGACCGACATCATGGAGAGATCCAGTAGAGACTCGATCGAGTGAGCCATCTGCTTGTACTTCTTGGGGACACAGCGGAAGAGCTTTTCGATAGCTCTCTCCTCGCCGTAGGTGTCATCGCCGAACTGCACCATCTTCTGCAACAGAGTGTTGAGACGGAGAGCAAAGTCATCAACGTCCTCACCTGGCTTGAAGGCCAGATTCTCCCACTCCTTGCGAAGTGCCTACAGTGTGGATTTGTGGGCGTGGTCGCTGCCGATGCGTGCCGCAGCGATGGCGTCCCAAGCCTCCTTGGCAGTCCGCTTGTTGGTAAGCGAGAGTTGCATCTCGGGCGGGACTGCAGCGATGAGGGCATCCAGCGCGCGTCGATCTAGGTCGTAGTCGACGTTGCCGTACCGGACTGCCTCCCACATGTGCCGCACCTGGAGCTTTACCCTCATCACCGCAGCCCACTCGACGTAGTTGGTCTTAGTGAGGGTACCCACCGTCGGGGCCGACGTCCCTGACGACAGCCTAGAGCCCGTGGTAACCACGGTACCGATCCGGGGAGAGAGAGCCACGCTGCCTGTGAAGGCCGCGCTCTCCATCGACCCGTCCGCCACCATCGCCGTGCGCGCCTCCTCCAGGAGCGCCGCCGGTGCGTCCGTGCTTGTCTGGGCTGTCGCCGCGCTCATGGGCGTGCACGGCTGCCCACTGCGCCGCCCGCGCTCATCCTCCCTCCCTCCCTAGCAGCTCGAGGTCCGCGTCGGCGCTGTCATCAGCAAAAATGGAGCTGCTGATGCTGCCGTGCAGAACCTCGACATCCGCTGCCGCCGCACGCGCTGCATCCGCCGCCGCTCTGGCTGCTGCTAGCTCCGCCGCTGCCAGCCTCGATGCCCTTGCCGCCGCCGCTCGCTCGCGTTCCTCTGCCGCGGCAAGTTCGGCCTCCTGCCGACGCCGCGTGCTCGAGCCGACCAAGCGCTGAGACTGCCCTGCGGACATGACGCGCTATCGGGGGGCTGCTGCGTGGGGAGGGGGCTGCTTCAGACGAGCTGCTGCTTGTTTGCGCAGAGGGAGAGAAGTGAGCAGGAGCGGCCGGAGCTGCTCCTGCTCCTAGCTGGGGCTGTTGCGAGGCTGGGAAAGGAGACGAGCAGGCGATGCTCAGGCTACAGGATAGTACGGCTCTAATACCAGTTGTTAGTCGCTGAATTCTTACTCTTGGTAGTAGCAGAATTCTTATTCTCAACGAGAGAGGATAACACTAGGAGTTAGGGCAATTTTCTGATTTATTTCTCAGACAAATGCTATGCTAACCTGAGGGGTTGGGGATACATATTTATAGGCTGCTAGCCAGCCAAGCATATGCCAAGATGCTAGTCTAAGATGCTAAGATGCTAGTCTAAGATGCTAAGATGCTGTCCTTGTGGCAGCAACAGCCAGCAGCCCCACAAAGACCAGACCAGCCAGACTTATCCATCAATATGGATGTACCAAAAAAGTCAAAGCGACTTATAATTTAGAACGGATGGAGTATTTTATATTGCATAGTGTCCATTATACTATTTTATATTGCATAGTGTCTATTATCTGTTTCTCCACTATGTAACAAATGACTTTTCTGCCATATACGTTCTATTAATCTCATTTAATGGTTCACATGATTAGTGTTACATAAATTTTTCAAGGATTTGGCTGTGCTAAATTGCAAAACATTAATAATAGCTACAATTTGAATGGTCCATGTTTGCTGAGTTCATCTCATTTCTTTCGTGTTGATTGCAGAAAGATTCATTGATGGATTTAAGTTTTCATGTTCCGACTTCGAATACTCAATTCATTGGAGATGAGCATCGTACTTCAGCTCAGGTGAGATCGCTGTTAAGAACAATATGAAAATGAAAAGAAAACACATCCATGCATGACGGAAATGATGGAATTTCTCCTTTTTAGATGCTATGGCAGGCTATCTCGGTTGAAATTGATGGTGGTGGCTCCTCAGAGATGGCTGTTGTTACATTTGATGGAATTGCAATTCTTACACCAAGGTGGGAAGATCCTACAACTCCGTAGAATATTGTTTATAAAAAAATATGATATGTTGTTGAATGTGCTTTTGTTTTGCTAAATAGCTAGCTTCTCCTTTTCTATTCAGGGGTCGATACAGTGTTGAGCTTCATCAGTCATTCTTGAGACTCCAAGGACAAGCTAATGATTTCAAAATCCAGTGTAGTAGTATTCTTCGCCTATTTGTTTTACCAAAGGTTGTATTTATTTTACATACATGCTGAGATCTTTTATTGCACATACTAACATATGATTCCATCCTTTGCGTTTCACCTATGTAGTCACACAATCCACATACCTTTGTGGTTGTCACACTTGATCCACCGATTCGCAAAGGACAAACTTTATATCCTCACATTGTTATTCAGGTGCCGTATCACACTTCAATTTTCACCTAATTGGATAAAATGTTCATCCAAAAGAACTAATTTCCGTATTGTGTGAACAGTTTGAGACAGAGGCAGTGGTTGAAAGGGAACTAGCATTAAGTGGTGAGGTTTTGGCTGAGAAGTACAAGGATAGGCTTGAGAGCTCTTACAGGGTGAGATATTTACTCATTTTCAAAAAGTCATTCATTCATCTAAAAATGGATCCTAGCACATTAAAATTTTATTTTTATTGCTTATACATCTTGTGGCTTATGATCTATGTTTTATGTTTGCATATTTCTCATAGGATTTTATTTGCATAGTTACATGAATTATTTTTAATTTAATGAAGTTGTTTAAGCTCCCTAGCTGTACATTTCTTGCAAGTAGGGTGGTCGCTAGCTGCTGTTTGGCAAAGTTATGTAATTGAATAAATCGTTATGTAGACCGTTACGTTGTTTTCATCTTCCACTGCATTATAGGGTCTTAATATGTTGATCGTCCCTTCTACTTACATCTTTAATTGCCGTGTCATTGATTTATTCGTAGGGTCTAATACATGAGGTATTCTCCAAGGTCCTTCGTGGCTTATCTGGTGCTAAAGTGACAAGGCCAAGTACCTTCCGCAGTTGCCAAGATGGATATGCAGTCAAATCATCACTTAAAGCTGAAGATGGTTTGCTTTATCCACTCGAAAAGGGCTTCTTCTTTCTGCCAAAGCCCCCAACACTAATTCCTCATGATGAGGTCTGCTTTATTAAAGAAATATAAAAGTTTTTCATTCAATCATTTTGCCCCATGGTTCGCTATTACTTCCTGTAGATCGAGTATGTTGAGTTTGAGCGTCATGGTGCTGGAGGTGCAAGTATATCATCTCATTACTTTGACCTGTTGGTCAAGTTGACAAATGATCAAGAACATCTCTTCAGAAACATCCAAAGGAATGAATACCATAACCTCTTCAACTTCATCAGGTTTTTATATGTTTTTGTTGATTTATATAATAGTAGCCAACGCATTTTTATGAATCTGATAGTAGCATCTTGTTCCTTTATAAATTTTCAAGTGGAAAGCATTTGAAAATTCTGAATCTTGGAGATGGCCAAGGTAGAACTAGTGGTGTTACTGCTGTTCTTCAGAGCACCGATGATGATTCTGTTGATCCACATCTGGAGCGGATAAAAAATCAGGCTGGTAACGAGGAAAGTGATGAAGAGGTATTGCCTCCCTTAGTTGATAACTCAATATAAGGTAATCTTCGGTCAATTGCATGTACATTTTTTTGTAATCTCTCTTCACATTAGGATGAAGATTTTGTGGCAGACAAGGACGATAGTGGATCTCCAACTGATGATTCTGATGCGGATGGCTCTGATGCTAGTATGAGTGGAGGAGACAAGGAGGTAACTAAATTTTCTGTTGCAGTATACAACATAGCAATGGTTCCAGAATGAACCAGAGTAGCTATAGGATGCACTGTGCTAACAGACTTCTTCCAGAAACCTTCCAAGAAGGAAGCTAGTAGCTCAAAGCCGCCTGTGAAGAAGAAGCAGAAGACTGGGCCTGATGAAGGTTCTCAAAAAAAGAGGCCAAAGAAGAAGAAAGATCCCAATGCCCCTAAGAGAGCTATAACCCCATTCATGTACTTCTCAAAGGCTGAGCGAGCTGTAAGTTACTTATAACCCTAAATTTCAGAAGGCCGCGATATTGAGAAAACTGAATATAATTAATTGGAGAAACTTTCAACCTCTCATTTATCCAGACCCTGATTTATGTTTCTTTCAGAACACAAGGGCCTAGAATTTCACTTTCTATTTGGTTATATCTCTGCTATTTTTTCTACTCTTTTTTTGCGACTTCTATTTTTCTATACTCTATTGTATGCAAAACACGCTAGGTTGCAATGAAGAGCACGTTTTTTACTCTCTTGATGAGGCACTTAGCTTAGAATTTTGTAAATCGAACAAACAATAGACGTACATGTCAAAAAATTAACAGACACTTCCCCATTGCAGAATATCAAGAGCAGCAATCCTGAACTGGCTACCACAGAGATTGCAAAGAAGCTTGGAGAAAGGTGGCAAAAGATGACAGGTACCGGTCTATAGCTCTATGACACATACTATTTAAAACTCCATTGTCTTCTTGCACATATAGAATGTTCCTGTAGGTGATCATGTCTGTTTACCAAAAAAACCAAGACATGTGGAGAGCATCTGTTCTAACCATTTCCACCCATTTAAATTTTACAGCTGAGGAGAGGCAGCCATATGTGGAGCAGTCCCAGGTTGACAAGCAACGCTACGCAGAAGAGTCTGCAGCCTACCGTGGTGCAGCCGCTCAGCAGGGCTCTGGTGCTGGATCGGAATGAAGGTTGTCGTTTAGACAGTTAGCTGCAGGGCTGGATTATTGAGTTGTCAGAATGGGCGGGAATATTTACCTTAGCTTTTGAATCATTCATCCAATCTATCTTAGCTAGTGTTACTATTAATATGTATTGACTGGAATATCCTAAAATCTAAGCTGAATGCCATCCTTTGACATTAACTTTAGAAAATTTCCGTCAGCTTGCCCAAGAATTCCCCTCTCTCGATGTGGGAGGGTTTGTCAACAGTTAAGCAAATCCCACCGGACAGGGACAAAATGCAGCCATAGGTTTATCGAGTTTGTTTGAACTATATTTTAAACAAATTTCAGAGAAGTACAACTATTTTTGGCATAAGAACTACAAAAGTACAACTATTTTGACATGTATCATAAAAGTACAATTATTTTCCAATTTGGTACCATGATGAAAATACAACTCCTTTGACACTTGATGATTGATACTATGAGAATAGTTTTAGTTATGTGGTACCCAATGTCAAAATAGTTGTAGTTCTCTGATACATGTCAATATAGTATTAGTTCCATAAAATTTACTTATATGATTTTAAAGATGATCTTATGTGTGCTCTAGATGCACATCAGCAAGTTAATGGTTAGGATAAGAATGCAACGTCAACCTAGGCTAACCCTGAGTAGCTAAAATAAAGAACACGCCTATCACCAATGCTAAAACCAATAGAACCTTTCTAGCTGCCTAAACACCCTTCTTGCAACCTCTGAATCCATTGTTAAGTAATTTGCTGTTCCCCTTTATGAATGCGCGGCAGGGACAGGCGGCGCCGAAAGGGCTCCCTGCTGGGCAGGCGCTGCGAGGCTCCCCTGCCGCACTGTAGCCACAGCAGAGGCAGGCGCCAAAGTCAGCCCTGCTGTCACATCTAGTCATTGTAGCATCATGCAACCTGACATGCCTGTGTATTAGGATTAGATAGATAGAGTTGTATATATAGTTTATCCATTGCAACTCAGTAAAGAGAGCGAGTTCAGTTTTATCATCTCCTCTGCATAGCTCCAGCTAACGCTGGTGCTTGTGCTGTGTGTGTGCTCTGTTCTTCTTCCCTTCTTCTACCTCTAGACATAGTGTGTGGTCGCCAACAATAGTGTCGGCAACGCGGGAGAGTGGTCGGCTCACCCGTGCCGGAGATCCAAGGGGCTAACAAGTGGTATCGGAGCAGTACAGGCGCCGTCGCCGGACTAACCGCTGGCGATGACGGACAGTTTGGAGATAGGCGACAACAGCGGCACTACCCAGCCACGACAGGAGATCATTGTGCGCATGGTGCGGGAGGTCAGCGGCACCAATTGACCGACGCTGACTCGCACCAACTATGGCGAGTGATCGGTGACCATGAAGGTCAAGATTAGAGCCCGACGGCTCTGGAATGCTGTTGACAAGGGCACCGACAACGAAGAAGATGGCATGTCAGTGTTGTAGGCTATCCTCGCTGCTATGCCAGCGGAGTACCGGAAGCCGTTGGGGGTGAAGAGCTATGCTAAGGAGGCGTGGGAGGCCATTGCGGTAATGCGTGTCGGTTCCGACCACGCAAAGAAGGCGACGACCCAGCTGTTGAAGCAGAAGTACGTCAACCTCAAGTTCAAAAATGGTGAATCGGTGGAGGACTTCTCCCTCCGCTTGCAGACACTCATCAGCAAGCTGAGGAGCCACGGTGTCACCATCGATGAAGAAGAGGCGGTCTCTAAGTACCCCCACTCCAAGCCGGTGAAGTACATCTAGATTGCTCTCTCCATAGAGACGATGCTGGACTTATCCACCCTCACCATTGAGAATGTGACAGGCTGTCTACGGGCGGTGGACGAGCACATGGAGCAGCCCACAGCAACGAAGGATAGTGGCAATCTACTGCTGACAGAGGAGGAGTGGGCTGCCCGGAGGAACTCCGGGAAAGCCTCCTCCAGCTGCGGTGGCGATGGCAAGCGCCGCGGCAAGGCTTCTTCGGAGAAGAAGAAGAAGGAGGTGGATGGGCCATTGGGCAAAGGAGTGCCCAAATCGCAAGCAGGAGAAGAAGGCTGAGGCTCATCTAGTGTAGGCTGATGATGATGATGAGGCCACTCTCCTGATGGCAACATTCTATGCACTGCACGACGTTGAGGCCAAGGAGAAGGGAGAGGTGATGGCGGTGAAAGGGCCTGGGAAGGCTCTGAAAGCTGTCTACCTCGACGAACCGCGTGCCCAAGTCCACCTCGGATGTGTGGGTGGTGAGCAGGAGCAGCGGTGGTACCTGGACTCCGGCGCCAGCAACCACATGACAGGCTCCAAGGTAGCCTTCTCTGAGCTCGACGACGATGTGACCGGCACGGTGAAGTTCGGTGACAGCTCAAGGGTGGCGATCCGAGGGCACGGCACCATCATCTTCAGGTGCCAGAACGGCGAGCACCACATGCTAACAGATATATATTACATCTCGCAGTTGCATTCAAGCATCATCAGCATTGGCCAGCTGGATGAGCGTGGTAGCGAGGTACTGATCAAGGATGGTGTCCTCAGGATATGGGATCGGGAGTAGCGCCTTCTTGCCAATGTGAAGAGGTCCCAGAACTAGCTGTACCTGCTCGACTTGAAGGTGGAGCAGCCGGTGTGCCTGGCAGCATGGCACACCGAGGAGCTGTGGCTATGGCATGCTCGGTTCAGCCATCTCAGGTTCAACGTGCTCGGTCGGCTCGAAAAGATGGTTCGAGGGCTGCCCCACATCCAGCACGTAGGCGAGCTGTGTGACAGCTGCCTGGCTGAGAAGCAGAGGAGGCTATCGTTCTCAAAGGTGGCCAAGTATCGCGCGGTGGACGCTCTCGAGCTCGTCCACGGCGATCTTTGCAGGCCAATCACACCAGTCACAAATGGTGGTCGGTGATACTTCCTCCTGCTCATGGATGATTACAGTCGCTATATGTGGCTGCAACTCCTAATGAGCAAGGATGAGGTGGCGGCAACGATCAAGAAGTTCAAGATGCGCGCGGAGGCGGAGAGCGACAAGAAGCTGCACGTGCTGTGGACTAATCGGGGCGGCGAATTCACTTCGGTGGAGTTCACTGCGTACTGCATGGATCAGGGTGTGGTGCGACACCACACCACGCCGTACTCGCCACAACAGAATGGCGTGGTGGAGCGGCAGAACTAGACAATGGTCGGCATGGCTCGATCCATGATGAAGGCCAAGGGCATGCCAGAAAGGTTCTGGGGTGAGGCGGTGACCACGGCGGTGTTCATCATCAACCGCACACCCACCAAGGCCCTGAAGGGTAAGACACCGTTCAAAGCTTGGTATGGGTGCAAGCCGAGCGTGTCCTTCCTCCGGACATTCAGCTGCATCGGCCACGTTGGGAAGACGAAGCCGGTCCTCACCAAGCTAGAGGACAGGAGCACACCGATGGTGCTCCTAGGCTACGCGGAAGGTACCAAGGCGTACTGGCTCTATGACCCACATGGAGGCAAGGTGCTTGTCTCATGCGATGTCGTGTTCGACGAGAAGGCAGCCTAGGACTAGGGCAGTCCGAGCATGGGGGAAGCTAGCGGCTTCACCAGCACATTCGTCGTCGAGCACTTGGTCATCCACGGTGGTGGAGACGCTAGAGAGGAGGTGTCGAGCACTCTAGGAGTAGAGCCAAGTGGTCCTATAGTGGTGCCGACCACTCCAGGATGGGTGCCGAACACTCCCATAGCGAAGCCGAGAGGTCTTGTAGTGGTGCCGACCACTACAAGACTAGTGTTGAGCACTCCTACAGTAGTGCCAACCACTCTAGGAGTGGTGATGAGTGGTCTAGGAGTAGTGCCGAGCACTGCAGCTAGGGTGCCGAGCACTCCAGGTGCTGTGCCAACCACTCCGGCGGAACAGGGAACTCTATCGACGCCGATCGAGTTCGCCTCACCACCAAGCGACATCACTGAGTTCGTGGATGCCTTCATGATGGTGAGGAGGTGTGGTTCCGCAGGCTGGATGACATCATCAGTGGCATAGGGCCCTCAGGCCTGGTAGGTCGGCTGCTTAATGACCTAAAGCTGCTTCTTGTCACAGTGCAGAGGAACCACCCACATTCGTGTTGGTCGAGCGCGATGCAAACAAGACTTGGGAGCTCATCGATCCACCTCCAGGATGCCGTCCGATTGGCCTGAAGTGGGTCTACAAGGTCAAGTGGGATGAGCGTGGTGCCATTGTTAAGCACAAGACGCGCCTCGTCGCCCAAGGCTTTGTCTAGCGCGAGGGCATCGACTTCGAGGAAGTGTTTGCGCCGGAAGCGCGCATGGAGTCTGTCCGACTGCTTCTGGCTTTGGAAGCAGCGAAGGACTGATGCGTCCATCACCTGGACATAAAATCGGCCTTCCTCAATGGTGAGCTGGCGGAGACAGTCTTCGTCAGACAACCTCCGAGTTTCACCGTCAAGGGAGCGGAGCATAGGGTGCTCCGACTGCGCAAGGCGCTCTACGGGATGCGGCAGGCCCCACGAGCGTGGAACACCAAGCTTGATTCCACGCTAGGCGAGCTTGGGTTCATGCGGTGCGCAACCGAGCACACGCTCTACACACGGCGATGGGGGAAGGAGGAGCTCGTCATCGGAGTATATGTGGATGACTTGATCGTCACCGGCGCGCGTGCAGAAGACATCGACAGCTTCAAGCGTAAGATGGCGGCTGGTTTTCGAATGAGCGATCTCGGCACGCTCTCCTACTACCTAGTGTTCGTCTAAACAGATTAAACGGCCAGTAAATGGTAAACGGTGGTAAACTGTTTTGTTTATGGGGTAAACGGAAATTAAACGGTTGACCATTTAAATAGTTAAAAAACGGGAAAAAACGGCCTAAACGGAACGGAGATAAACAACATTAAACGAGCTAAACAGCTGTTTAAACGGCCGTTTAGGCAAACACGAGGTAAATCTAGTTCAGTTTTGTATGGATAAATTTGTATACTTAAGTTTATTATATTTATAAATGTGTACACTTGATATGTTACATGCATAAATATCTATATTTGG